AATGGACAAGGATGGGATATTCCATAAAACACGAACAGGAGAATACATGAAATCAAGAACAGGGCATAATATCTATGCAGTTAAACAAGATTGGTGCAATTCACATAACAAGACAAAGACAAGATGTGAAATCAACCAATGTGGAAACTCGGATATCGCCCGGATTAAAATCGTACTCTTGAGATCACTTTAGGGCTACTAACCCATAGGTACCTTTCCCCTAGTGCGCACTATATTGTAGGAGGACATTCTCCCGTACTATAACCGAGTCCTAGCCATGTCAATTCTTGATTGATATCTCCAAGTCCCAAAATCAACAAGTTGTGCAAACCAAGATAGTATCAAAATACAAGAAATGCATTAACCATGTTTCATGCACAACCAAGATTTTGGAACACACAAGTCATGCCCTAAGTTCATCAACTATAATGGCATGTGAAATGTCAAAAAATCATAGTATGCATCTATATAGATTATAACCAAGATATATAGCGCATAGAGTTCATTAAAGTAAATATACCACAAGTATAAGATACATGATTCGAGTAATTACTAAGCAACACATGAGTAATTAAATCATTCCAAGACAAAGGTGCATGTTCATTAAGTACATTAATGAAACCTAGATACAAGGGGTCACGATGCTTGATAAAAGATAACAGTTCATGAAATTCAAGTCAAGTTCACTAGTTTAACAAGAATTCATATCAAGGCATGATTAACTCGATGGAAGCATATAAAGGAAATTTAATCTACTTAAGAGATTAAATTATCAAAATTACAGGTAAGTTCAAGGGTTCTACAAACAAGACATGTCAAGGATCATGTGAAGAACAAGTCTAATATCAAGTTACAAGTTCATTTCATTCAAAACACAACCATGTGAATTTAGTTCCATACAAAGAAAATAAATGAATATAAATTTCAAAACTTATCCGGTTATTCTTAATTTGATACACGTAAAGGAACTTGTCACGGAAAGCATAAATCCTAAGTTAGAAACTTAATCAAGACCAATGAGCTATTAAATGGATTTTAATTATTTCATTTAATTAAAATCTCAAAGTTTTGAAATTCATCCAAATGATCTCAAATTTATATATGTTATACAACATGCCAAGACTTGATTTAAAAACATGACACAAGTGAATTCCATGCAAGAGAAGACCACGAGTATTAAACTTTAATACTAGAAAATAAATAAATAAAAGGTTTCAAAACCTAATCAAATATTCTAGATTTAATATATGTGAAACCATATAGCATGCATATCAAGAATGTCAAGTCAGAATTCCAATGGGGTGAATAGTACACCCGGAGCAAATTAATTAATCAATTTAATTAATAATTACTAGATTTCAAAACATCTCCGATTAAGCTCAAATTAATCTATGTTGAAGAGCATGCTTGGGCCTAATTTAATATGATAGCACACATTGATTTCAAACTAATTAAGGCCACGTGAATTAATCTTTCACTTAGGATAAATATTAAATAAAAGCTTTAATACTTATTCAAATGTTTCAATTTTAATACACGACAATGAGCATATCAATGGACAATATAATATCATGCTACGTGTTTAAACCAAGTCATGAGCAATCGGGAAAATCAAATCCCGTACAAGAAAAATAAATAATAAAATCTCTAGATTTCATATTTAAGTATATAATCAAGTTGTATAAGTATCAACATTATGCTATATAACAAGAATTAAACCTATAACACCCCCTACCTCGATTTGAGATGAAAACCTCAAAGGCCTACCGAAATAAAAGTGCTCCAAATTCGACGATACCGAGAGGTTTTGTCGGGGACAACACCTGGAACAAGAATCCGCAAGAAGCCCCATGAAAATCTCAACTTGACTCCAAACTTGAACTTGAAAAATCGTCAAAAATGGATTCTAATAAGGACATAAGGTAGAACACGTAGAGGGGAACAATAAATGTTAAGGCCGAATGATTTCTACTAAGGAAAAGTGGACCAAAAGAAGAGAGAGAAGGTGGCAGCCATGGCTGCCATGGATTCCGGCCAGAAGAGAGGAGAGAGAGAGAGAGAAAATTTTGACTTTTTCTCTTAAGGCCTCTTATTTATAGAAAATCTCAAAAAGTGCCCCGAAAGGGCCCCGCCGGGTTTGGAAAAGTGAATTTTGAGCAAACGCGCTCAAACGGCAAAACTCCGTGAACAAAAAAGATTCTAAATGAGAAAATATGAACAACGGAAGAAACGGCGTCAAAAACTGAGTCCCGAGCAAAGAGATATGGCCTGAACAAATTCGGCGCTGATCGGGTCCAGAAACTCTGAAACTGGAGAAAAATGACCAGAACGGAATTCTATGAGTACAAGATTTAACGAAATGTGAAAATAAATCCCATACGAGGATCTAGGCTCTAGACAAGATATTTTGCAATAACTTTCGTGAATTGCATAATGGCCCCTACAAAAATGGTTAACTGCAAAACTGCCCCTGAAAGAAAATATCTTTTGGAAGATATTTTCTTAAATACCCCTAAAATAAAATATCTTTAAAAGATATTTACGAAAAATACCCCAAGAAAAGAAAATAATTCCAAAGAATTGTGCATCCATGCCCCTATGGACACCGGGAGCAACTAGAGTACTTTCTTGAAAAAGTGAAGATACGTATTTCGTGGAAACCACACAAGATCAAGATATGTGAAGTCAAAAACTAATTCCGAGCACGAAAAGTGAGGTTATGCCAAAAACTGACAAATGGGAAAAATACAGAATAGGGAAAAGGACGAAATAGTGCATAGTATCGAAAAACGAAAAATGTAGAAATGACTCGATCCTCAAAAGAAATTGTCAATCCATGGAAAAGAGTCTCGGAAATCATTTCCAAGCACTCGAGATGACACTAAGCGACAAGAAACAGAGTTCAGAAAGGAAAATTAAACGGAAAAAATTTATCCGTAAAATTTTAGGAAAAAGAAAAGGAAGGGAAATTTCAGGGTCGTTACAAGAATCCTACGTAGATGACTGGAAGAGTGATGATAACTAGTCTCTGCTCTGTACAAATAATATTTACACCTGATACTGATATGGACCTGAAAAATAAATAGTGGGTCAGGCCCACAAAGACCTAATGAATCAATACATCCTAGTTAACTCATGCAATAACTACATAGTTAATATACATATTGATACACACTAAAGACTCTCACTGTACTATAGGGTAGACTCATCATGATATTAGGAATCATGCAAAACCTAGTCATGAGTACCCTCATCTACGAGGGAATACTCACATCATTTATATCCAGCTATGCATCCCAGGGGCAATATAGCCTTTCTACCCATCAATCCTAAGAACTCATGTTCATATCATGGTACATATATATATATATATATATATATATATATATATATATATCCATATCTAATAAATAATAAAATCCAATCATTTATTTAGGGGAAAAAAAAAAATTCATATTCGTCATCCATAACCTGAGAATGGCATGACAAGTAATGAGTTTAAATTTATTAGCCAACTCACCTTTAATATACAACCATATCCTGGCAATGTTGTATAAATCCAAAACCATATCATGACAATGGTTCCCACACAATCTAACAAATAATATATAAAGATCAAATATATATAAAATTGTAATAACGTGATTATAGTCATTTAAATCATCCATTGCAATTGTTATAATAATTAAAACAATATAAATATCAAATAAACAACTTATAATTCAATATATTATTCATAAATCACATTATGATTTACATAATTTATAATGTGATCAATATCATTTATCAAAATATTCAATAATAATATTGATATAATAAATATCATCTATCAACGAGAATGAATAATTACGCTTAATAGCGTTTATCATACTACACCATATACTCCGACTACGATTATTATATTTTAATACCATACCCAGTATATTTTCAATATGATTAATATTATTTATTAAACATACACCAAATATTTAACTCATCATTTAAAATTTATCGAGTTTTAGTACGACGAATGCAATTCCGAAAATAAGCTTAAAAATAAAGTATCTCTAAAAATTATGAAAAAAATAAAATAAGAAACATAATCAATAAAAAATAACCAAATTTTAAATATGAGAACAATCGAATTTCGTTTCAGCCTCTAACAAAAATCACAAAATACTGCGATACCTTCTAATAATTAAAAAACACAATTTCAGAACCCTAAACGATGGTTTTAGGCCTTAAATTGACATGGCCCACAAGTTGAAGCTAGTGGGTTTTTCTTAATCGATTGTTTATACCAAAAAAACACTATTATATAGTCAAAAACGGAATTATCGAAGTGTTGTTTAGAATTCTATCCAGACAGACAGAATTCTGTCTTAGTTCGTCTGAATATTATTTTATAATAATTATACAATATAGTTTAAGAATTTAATTACAGCAATTAGGCGTGTAGAGATTAAGTTATAACAACAATTCTTGCATCAAATTACAAAATCATACAAAACATGCAAACATATTTTTAAACATATAAAATTTCTGTTTTAATTATATTATAGATATATTATTTCATTTAATTAGATTAAATTAGTTTCTTGAAATTTAATTATTTTAAATTAAATATCTGAAACAAATTTCATTTTGGTCCCAAAGAGTGAAAACATTTCCCGGGTAAAATGTTTTTTTGTAGCGCCACTTTGAATAACATTGAGCTTCCCTCTCTCACTCTCTCTCTCATGACTGCTCTCTCTCGTGACAGCTGCCTCTTATATTCTTTTAGATAATAACAGAATATTTAATACCGAGAAATTGTACCTAAAAAATAATTAAGTTAGAAACTATTCACCTTAGATATTACTTGGGCCTGACACAGTGTTAGAATTGATATATATATATATATATATAATTAAATTATACTTTACTAGTTACACGATTATGTTTTTTGAATTAAATATTTCTACCAAATTTAATTTTACCGCCCAATAAAATATTTACCGCCCAATAAAATATTTATCGCTTCTAGGTTGAATCATTCAGCTTCCCCCTTGTCTCACACTCACGATCCTCCGTCTCTATCACCCCTCCTATATATCGTTTCCGTTCCAACAAAGACCCAATCAACAGTCTCCCAGTCAATGTCGCCGGCAACTATGTACATATCCTCTCTGTTCATACAAAGACAATAAAAAACGTGTTCTTCAATAGCGTCTCTTTGAAACAAAGATCCAGTCAATACTTAATAAAGGGGGATTCAAAGACGATTTTTGGTTTGTTTTTGAAGCAATTTAAAGCCCAATCAACTTCCATCAACCAATTTGAGTATTCATTACAGGTTGGTATCCATAATAGTTCTGTAATTTTTTGAATTTTTGCCTAATTAGGGTTTCTTATTTATGTTTTTGTGAGGCGATGTTAGGTCAAGTAATTTTTGAATTTCTGCCTAATTAGGGTTTCTTATTTGTGTTATTGTGAGGCAATGTTAGGTCAAGTTATAATGTTTTCTTTCAAATTGCAGTCCGAAGTGACAAAGAAAAAGGTCCGTCTTAAAGACCGTATCTAATGCAGAAAGTTCACCCAGGGTTGTGCAAGTAAGAAAGTAGAACAGTCAAGAACCCTCAATCCCTAATTTTTTTTTTTCACGATTTTAATCCCTAATTTTTTTTTTCACGATTTTAATCCCTAAATTGAGAGCTCTTATTCTCACCAATCTATTGGCCATCAAATAGTTCTAATCAGTATTTGTTATACCGGTATCTTAATAATGCCAAATTGTTGCTTTGAGCCGAACAAGCACAATTAAAGCATGCTATCTTATATTATTATTATCATTTATTTATTATTTTTATTATTATTTTTTTCACCGTAAAGTAATTTATCTTTAATCATTAGAAATGAGTTTATTGTTCTTTTGAGTAACAAATTTACTTTTTACTTTTTCAGTATGAATGCATGGCATTGGCCAATTTCATTTGCTACCTAAAATGTTAATTATAATTATCATTAAATGTTACACCATAATAATCTGATTTCTTTCTGCTAATATTTCCTGTTTACCCCCGAACTAGAAGCATGATGGACAAAAATCTCTTTTGGTGGGTATATTTAGAACATGGTTAGAGTTCTGAAATTGAAGCAAACAATGGTTCTCAAGTTAAAATTCAGGCTACTGCAGGACCAGTTCTGGGTCCTCCTTGGCGGCGCCCTGACAATGGGTACAGTTTTGTGCTACAATTTGCCAATGTAACACTATTTTTATCCCCCTGTCTCCTTCGTTTCCTAACAAATAGTTATTTCCCTTTATCAAATACGTGCTCCAGGTATCTTGTTGTTTCTCCGCAAGGCCAGTTGACACTTTATTATGAACCACATTGTGTTTATAACAAGAACTTTCTGGAGAAGGAATGAGCCGACATTGTAATTACGCCTGTTATAAAACAGCTTCTGCCAAGTCTTACATTGGTTTCTGGACAAGAAGATGCAGTTCAACTTGCAAACATGCTCCATGCCAGGTATAGTACTTTTTCCTTGATGTCGGAAGCTATGTCAATATATTTTATAGAATTGATATTTAAATGATTAACTTTCTTCCCCTATATTGTAGGTTTATTGTGCCCATGAAAAATGGGGAGGTTGACAGTAAAGGGCTTCTTGCAAGTTTAATTCAGTCTGAAGGAACAATTGAATCATTCAAGGTTTGATTTCTGTTATCAGGAAAAATAGTTCAGGTTAGATTTTTTTTAATTGAAGTATAGGAGTACTATGTGAACATTAATGCAGTATAAATATCATATTTCCTTTAATCTATCTAAAGCGTACAATGTGATGAGGTATGTTGAGCCACCTTATTATAAAATAAATAAATAAATAATTCTTACACAGTATGAAGGAATTCATATAATAAGTTTTGGTGAACTTTAGAATGTGTCATTACAAAAGTATGGCATTTTTCTTGTGTTTAAGACATTATGGTAGTGAATGCTTTCTAGAATCTCTTCCCTATATTTCTTCATCTTCCATAACAAATAAAAAGAAGTTAAAACTTTAAATTTAATATTTTGCACATGCGGGACTTCTTTTTTAAGGATAGCCTTGGTATAAGCCCATCAATTACAATTTATGACTTGAATACGGAAATTACAATGGGAATGTATAGTATAACATGACAGTTTATAGATAAGCTTGATGCAAAAGAAATAATTAGTAAGAAAAAATAATAATTTCTAGGCTGAAACTTTGCCCTCTAGCTCTTGGGTGGGAAAGAAAATTTCTAAAGCTGAAATAGTGTCAGTTACAGAATCAGATGCCATGTTAGAAAATGGTAAACAAAATCTTATTCCTTCTGATGCAGTCCATAAGAAGCTTAAGAAAAAACAAATTCTAAAAGGAAGTAAGTATGGAAAGTTGCTCTATCTAGTGGACAAGGTTTTGAATGTTCCACTTCCTAGATTCAGTGTCAGGAAAAATATTGTTGGCTGGTAACTAGTAATGCGCCAATCTCTTTATTAATTTACTACTTAGAAATAACAAGAATATACATAAGTTCACCCTTCTCGAATTGGTACTAACTACTAAACTAGTCCCTATAGAAGCATATAACTTAATCGGCTTTTATTAAGGAATCAGTTGTCTGCAAAGAGCTAAGTAACGGGGTTTGACCATTCTGAGAATGTGACACTTGTGGGTAAAAAAAAAAAAAAAAAAAAAAAAAACCACTAGATTTTTCTTTGAAGTCCCAAGCTGTTCAAGTTCTTTCATTGAATAATTCTTGTCCATGCCCAGATCAAATTCTATAATAATTGGCTAGTGATTGTTTAAGTCATTAGGAAGAGTGAAGATCATTGTGCAGGGGTTAAGTGTTGCTGTTGGTTTGAAAGGTGAATGCCCTATACTAATGGGTTTGGATTCGGTGCATGTGTGTGTACATGAGCTTAGTGTGAGTGTGCTTGTCTTGTTATTATTATTTTCTTTCCTTTTGTTTATTTTCGTTTTAGTCTGTTAAAAAAAAAAAACCACGAAATTTTTCTTTGAAGTCCCAAGCTGTTCAAGTTCTTTCATTGAATAATTCTCGTCCATGCCCAAATCAAATTCTATAATCATTGGCTAGTGATTGTTTAGGTCATTAGGAAGAGTGAAGATCATTGTGCAGGGGTTAAGTGTTGTTGGTTTGAAAGGTGAATGCCTTATACTAATGGGTTTGGATTCGGTGCGTGTGTGTGTACATGAGCTTAGTGTCCATGCCCAGATCAAATTCTATTATAATTGGCTAGTGATTGTTTAAGTCATTAGGAAGAGTGAAGATCATTGTGCAGGGGTAAGTGTTGCTGCTGGTTTGAAAGATGAATGCCTTGTACTAATGGGTTTGGATTCGGTGCATGTGTGTGTACATGAGCTTAGTGTGAGTGTGCTTGTCTTGTTATTATTATTTTCTTTCCTTTTATTTATTTTCGTTTTAGTCTGTTTTATCTTTTTTTTTTTTTTTTTACTTTCTATTTCTTCATATTTTTTCTTCTTTTTATTTTTTTTTTTCATTTTCCCGTTCTTTTTGTTTTATTTTAATTATTTTCTTTTTTCTCATTTTTTTTAAAACAAACAAGAATATTTAAAAATATTTTTAAAAAATGGTGCAAAATGGGGTGTCTACACAATTAATGAGGTAGTATTCCATGGATTTGAGGGAAAAAGAATGAAACAAGCATGGAAGTAGGTATAGTTGCCATTAAAATTTTAGTATATATAAAGGACCCGTATGATGCCATGAAATTAAAATGTGGGACCTTGATCATTCATTAAGTTTCATACCGTATATTAATCTAACATGTGTTTGGTTGTTCAAGTATAGCTTGTATTGTTTAATCAGTAGAGAGTTGAGGTTTATCTATGACATCCTTTTTTTTTTTTTTGTTGTTATTACCTTAAAGAAATTTTTTTTTTTTTCTTATCATGCAATGCTTAAGCTAATTGATTGGAATTGTTCTGGGTTTTGATCTGCTAAGTAGCTTCTAACTTTGTGGCTTATTTTTTCTCTCCACTCATGACATGTGATAGCTGATGGGAAATGTGCTAGTTTTAAAAACTTTTCGAATGATTTTCATTCACAGATCTTGATTCATCACATAGAGACAAGTTTTATGCAAAAATAAAATATGATGTATCATTCAATTAACAGATTGAATACTTACATCAAAGGTCTGAATAAATTTTTAAATCTTTTCTCTAAATTGAATATTCTCACTTATTATAAATCCCTTAGCAAGATGTCGTTTCCTTGGATCTCCATCTTCTTGGTACTTGTTTTGCCTTTAGGAATCACTCATAAGCCTCCATAAATGACCTTGGAAAACTAGGCTTGCGGGAGCCTCCATTAGATGAGAACACTAACTCTAATTTTCTAGAGAGAGAAAATATATTCTTTTTTCATTTTTTCAAAAATCACCCCCAAAATATACATAGACCATCTATATATATAAGCAACATAAAGATAATGAAAAAGAAATAATAAATCCTTGTCAATCTCTAATTCACATGTCTCAAATTTAATAGGATTCCAATATCAAGTTGGGTTATGAGTGATAATCCTTTGGGCTTATTATTTTATTGGCTATAATGAATTAATAATTGGCCCGGTCTATGGACCCAATTCAATTAATTTATAAATTAATTTTTACTCCACTAAAAGAAATTAATTGAATTTCAATTAAATAATAAATAACCTCTAAGTTAATGTTGCACTTTGACCCCTTTATGCATAATTAGTTATTGGATAAATAAAACCATCAATCCGACTACTTAATTAATATATTTATTTTAGTACCATTGATTATTTCTGGCTCGATCACAATAAAATATTTGTTTGACAAAAATAATAATTTAAATAAATAAATATATAATAAATTATTTTGTCTAAAAACACACGAAGGCCTTCGAATTTACTTTGTGATCAACTATAATCAATACAAAATAAATACAAGTAGTAATGATGCAAATATTGAAAATATAATCCTCTAACTATTAATTACATAACTATCCAAAGTGTTGGTCTAAGGATCTCGAAGTATCCGCCGAACAAATCAAAGTAATTATTAATTAATAAAAGAGTTTATACTTTTTTCATACTTAAGAGTCAAATGCCAACACAGTGAGAGGGAGCAATTGCATATGGCGGCTCTCGCAATATATCTTAACCTAACGCGAATCCAGTTTAAGTCTTAATTAATTATGAATCCATCCATAATTACCGACTATGAACAATTTATGATTATTATTTATATTCATGTATTGATCGCCATCACATACATATATAAATATCTCTTGTAATCAAGTGGATACTATCAATTCAATAATGAATCGAAACATAATACATTGAATTCACCAATTGTATCAAGCATAAATATATCAGAAACGTCAGGAATATATGTCATTATAATCCAAATATGAATTTGCTATTCCAGGGCATATAAATCCCAATAGTTCCCACTTGCTCTCATAGCCAATTCAAATTGCATCTAACACCAATTTTATCCAGATGACGATCAAAATTATTGATCAATGACACATTTGTTAATGGATCAACAAAGTTGTGTTCCAATGCAATGTTCTAACCACGAGTACATTTTCTTGCCGGACAATATCATGTAGAACATGATACTTCCTCTATGGAACCTTGGGTCATTGGTTTGGACTACTTCTGCACTATTGTCATAATATAGCTCGATAGGCAGCCTAGTATGCTCTACAATCTCTAAATCAGTGAGATCAAACCAAAAGGCTTCTTTTTGCCGCTTTTAAGGCTGCAACGTACTTCCCCTGCAGGTTTGAGTTAGCAGTTGAAATCTGCTTAACAATTTACTAACTGATTTTTCTTCCATTTAGAGAACATACACTAAGGCATGGACCTTATATAACTGATTTGAAATTAGAACTATCAAACCTGTCTGGAACCACATCATCACATCCATAAATGAGTATGAGATTATTGGTTTTCCTGAGGTACTTAATGATATTTTTCACAACAGACCAGTTATCAAGTTCAGGATTGGACTGATATCTTCTGACTATCCCTACAATGTAGCGGATGTCCTGTTTGGTATAGACCATGGCATATATGAGACTCCCATATGCCAAAGCATATAGTTCCAGTCTCAATTGCTCAATCTCCTCTGCTAGTTTTGGAAAACTACTTACTAGAGAGAACAATCCATATTAATAAAGTAAGAACTTATTCTTTGAGTTATGCATACCAAATCGAGTCAAAACTTTATCAATGTAGGATTATTAAGATAAGCGCATTTTCTTTTTAACCTGATCTTGCAAAAGCTTGATCCTAGGAATATAGCTTACATCTTGAAGATCCTCCATTTAAAAGTAATTGAACAACTAACTGTTTATTGATAACAATACTTCCACGTCATTATAGATGAGTAGGATGTCATCAATATATAGAATTAGGAAAAATAATGACATTCTTTTATACACTCATGATTTAATTACTAAGAAATCTTCCGGTATTCTTTTGTAGATTAACTTGCCTTCTATAGGTATCACCCTACTAGAAAGTTCTACAAGATCCCAGATTTTATTAGAATATATAGATTCCAACTCTGATTTCATAGCAACTCGCCAAAACGATCTATATCCATATCGGTTCACGCTTCCGTGTAGCTTACTGGGTCCAACTCATGTTTAACAGGGATGTCTATAATAGTCTCACCTAAAAACATGACTCTGTCGGATTGGATGATAATTCTCCCATTATAATAATGTACCGATGCAGGAATTTGTGTATTAGATGATGCTGACGCATCAATAGGGAATTCATATATTATTCTCAATTTCTATAATAAGTGTGTTCACATGTGGTACTCATACCATATTATTTAATATTATGCTACTAGGTATGTAATTCATAATATGATCCTCTTATAGATAAACAGTGAGTGCAAACAATCAACTTTTTATCATTGAGATCATAAAATAATCTATCATAGTGCATTTAGAGTAGCTATCAAATCTATCATGCGTATGATTTGTTTCCAACTTATTTGTCTATATTAAGCGCACATCTACAAGACTACCCCATATGTGCATGTGATTCAAACTAAGATATAGTAAAAAACACAGCTCAAACGGTATCCTTGAGATAGACTAAGATGGAATGCAGTTCATAATGCGTATCGATATCATTAACGCTAAACTCTTAAATGAAAGAGATAATGTAGCATAACTGATCATAGATTTAACCATGTTAAGCGGAATTCTGTTATTCCTATTTGACACCTAAATCAATTTAGCGTTAATTGCCGAAAACTGGTACACAACACCTTCATTGACCATATAGTCTTTACATTTTCCCAAGAAATATTCATATCCACAATAAGATCGAAGTGTTTTAATAAACTTACCTAATTTGTGTTTCATGTCAGTCTTGACACTCTCGGAATATACCAAAAGTTTAAGACTTGTGTCGCATCAAATAAATGTATCCAAAACGTGAGTAATCTTACTTGGATGTTCAAAAGAGCACATGTGTCAGTGTGTATTGACTCTAATTGTTCTTTATGTCTATTTCATTTGGCTGATTAAGCCCTTAGGGTTATCTATCTTTCAAAACAGGATTCACAAGTTGGTTTAGGTTCCTCTGTCTCACTAGGTTATAAATCTTCTTTGACCAATTTTTGAATCTTATTTTAACTGATTATAACCCAAAAATAGACACTAAAAATACAATGAGTCAGGAATAACAAATTTTCTCTTAACATTCAATCTAGAAGACGCAACATTAGTTTTTACATTCTGTAAATATTAAGAGCTTGTGATTATAGTATATTAACTATCTTTCAATGCACCAGAAGCAATCGCACATTTATTCAATTTTATAAAATCAGTTTTACAAAATAACAATACAATTTTTATAAACAAAAAGTGAACAAGAATTAGATTGCGTCTAATATCTGTGCATAAAGATAGTTCTCTAATACTAATATCCTCATACTTTCTAATTTCAGATGTAATACTCCCACTGACTTAGCTACAATCTTGACATCAGGTCAAGTACAAATATATATTCATATCATCGAGGCTTCTGGATTCCTGAAATCCTTGCAACGAATTGCAAATATGTTTAGTAGCTCCAGAATCTATCCATCAGGAATTAATAGATATAACTACATAACATGGCTCAATGATTAAATATAGATTTTCCTATGCCATGTCATTGCTTAGACAGTTCGTCCTTGAGTGTCTTAGTTAGCGGTAAAAGAAACAATTTCTTTCGCCCTCAACTTATACTGCCTTAATCTCTTTAACCTTTTGAATACCCATGTTTTGTGCTAGCCTAGTCCTATTATCATCCTTTTTCTTTCCTTTGCCTTTTCACTCGGGCCTAGAAGAAGATAGTATAGACTAAATTAGATTGATAGGAATGCCCATACTTTTGATTATCCCTTCATCTGTTACCAATTCTATAAGAATATCAGCGAGTGTGAACTTAAACTTGTTCCTTATAGTTCACTCTAAAAGAGTCGAACGAGTTTGGTAACAAGGCAATAATTCTGTCAACTTCAAACTTACCACCCAAGTCAACCCTTTTAACCTCCAGTTCAATTTTTAAATAATAAACAATTATTTTTAAAATCCGATATCATACTGGAGCTCCTCAGGCTATCTTGATGGTATTCTTCCTGAATTGTATATACAATAAAAATATCAATAAAAGCATTCACATTAATAAAGAGAGAAAAAGATAGGGGAAAGTGGGTGAAATAAACCCAAAAACTAAACCATATAAATTAAAATAAGGTTAAAACTGAAAATGATGACAAATCCGTATTTGAAAACTAAGAAATTTGATTCGTTATCGTTGTTGGTTGTGCTTGAGGTGCAAACATGTGTGAGACTCAGAGATATGTGAACTGAAAGTGAGAGAGAGTGTGAGAAAGAGGATGTCATCGACGGTAGTAATAAAAGATCGCCGATGACCGAACTTCTGGTTACTTGAGGGATATTGATTAACAACTGGATCCCATGACGATGAGAACTAAGAAGAATAAGGTGGCGTGAGCAAAGAAAAAAATGAGATAGTGGAGGAATGTTGGCATGCACCCAAAAATCAAAATCTTGGGAGAAGCAAAAGTAAATAATAATAAAAAATATCAGATAATTATGAATGTTGGCTCCCGTTTAATCGTTGTACTGAAATCCCTTACAAAGTTAAGAGTAGCATATATATAAAATATAACATATATTTATATACATATTATAATGGTTCGGTCTGGATTGGTCTGGTCCTGTAGGATCCTAATCCGGGACAGAACCAAAAATTCACGGTTCCATTATTTTGAAACCGTGACCGCCGGACCGGACCGAACCATTATAAAACCGGCCCAGACCACCTTTTTCCTTTTTCTTTTGTTCTCATTGCACATTGAGGACATTGTGCAATAAAAGTTTGGGGGTAATGTGTGTTCTTTGTATTCAATTTAAGATTTTGAGTATAACTTGTGTATTTGAGAGATTTACTATGATTGGTCCATGTTAGCTATAATTTTGATCTTTAGAAGACTATATTGCTTAAAATTTAAAAATTGCTTGATTTGAGAGTCCAATACTCCTTGTATACCTTGTGGATGCCATTTAGGAGTAAATTTTTTGAAAGATTGATATCTTGTTTCCACTTGTGGTACACATCATCTTGATTTTGTAATTATTTTGAGATTCACTCTAGGATTCTACATTAGCAAAGGCGCACACTAGCATTCATTTGTGGGGTACATGCTTTGTTGATTATTGATTTGGTTATATCCCAATTGAGCTAGTAGTGCATTGAAAGTTTTCATTCTTAATAAAGGTGAATAATAAACCCTTTTCACTAAGTAGTCGGGATTCTAGCCTTATCAAGCATTGAAGTTTTCGCGCCGAAAGGTAGAGGACCCAAACTCTAGGTTGAAAAAAAAAAAAAAAAAAAAAAAAAAAAAAGTGAGAATTTCTCCCAAAAAGTGATAAGTGGGAAATGATTAGATGGAGGTTGTTTTGATTTGTAGCCTAATTAATTTGAGCTTGTAAGTCCTTAGGGGTGTTTAAACACCTAATGCTCTAAAGCCATTCGGTTTGGGAGCCAATGACCTAACGCTCGACCTCATGGATCGCTTGAATGCTAAATAGATCAACACATTGCACCATGCTTCCATCTTTGATCCCTTAGGTTAGTAAAAAATAATAATAATAATAATAATAATAATAATTGAGTGAAAAGAATAAGTGCACCTAATTGAATAAAGGTTTAATAAAATGTCCATTCTTTGTCTTGATGATCGGTACTTGCTAGTTTGAGACCGGATGCAATCATTTCTTTAATTGGTTTAGATAACAGCATATTTGATGCCGGTTCACTTAAAAAGGATTCTAGAGTTGTTTTAATTTGCATGATCATTGTCTTGATGTGTGGAGGACCATACTTGCTTGCTTGATGTTCAAATTTTAGGAGATTACTTGGAAATGGTTGAAAAATTGTATACTTGAGATAGTTTTCTTCTAATGCTTATTTGGAATATTGGTGCCTTTTTAGTGAGAAAAAGCTTAATGTTTGTGGGTATCATTTTTGAAAACATTCACGAGACTTCACTCGTTCACTAGGAATAACCTAGGAGTTTAAAAGGTTTGTTGCATGTGCTACATGCAATAGTGTTCCCTATGAAAGTGGCGTTATCTTTTTATTGCTTTCTATTTCATTATTGTATAGTTGTTGGTTTCATGTTTTGTTTTGTAGTTCATTGTTATGGACTAGCAATATTTAAATTTGGGAGTCTGATAAGCGCTAAAAAGTGCATATTTAAACTCCTTAATCTTGAATGTTTTAGGACCTTATTCTATCTTTTTTTCTCGTTTAGTCTAATTTCATGTTATTTCCTTTTTCAGGCACTTATTCCTAACATTAATCAATTCAGCTGAATTAGAGCATTAAAAGAATCAATCTCAAGTCTAGTGGAAGTAAAGTGGTGAAAAATTCCTCTACGATCGATCGGACCAAGCTATGATCGATCATATTGTGATCGTTTTAACCCTGCCATGATGAATCGAGCCTTTTATCCTTATCCTCAGAAAAATTTCCTATTCGATCCATCTAACCTTCTATTCAATCGATCGAACTTTTTGATCTTGTCTTCACCAACCACTTTTGTCCTTTTTCTAAAAATATCTCAGCCTTGTCCTTATCCAAAAAGTGCGCCACCATGCTTCGATCGATCAGAGCAACCACGTGATCGATTGAACTGCCTCAAATTGCATGAAAAACAGATTTCAAGCCGAATTAAAGGTGTGCTCGTGGTGCAATCATTTGGAGGTCCTAGTGCATGAGGTCTGACCATTAGGTGTGACATTTGAGCTACCTATATAAGGAATTTGGCTATTTTTAGCAAAGAGGTTGGCTAGTTAGAGAGAGATTTGGCTAGAGATTAGAGAGAAATATACATTTTGGGAAAGTTCTTCCACTCATCTAGGGTTTCTACCAAGAACACCAAGGGAGGAGGATGAATTCTACCATGAAGATAGCCCTTGAAGGTTGGATGACAACATCAATGAGTGGCGAAACTACTCTTTTGGGGCTAAAAATAGTCCTAAGCATGCCTCCTAAACTTTGATACTTTATAATTAGTGGGATTTATGTTGTAATTCTCGTTTTGATCTCATATTTATATAAATCTTGTTTCTACATGATTTGTGTAGTTTTATACTTCCAATTGATCTTTTACTTCTATTCATATGTTTATGTATGTTAGAATGAATGATCATGTGCTTATTTCTAGATTTTGTGACATTGATGCATGTCTATGTGTGTTGATATTATGAATCTAGTGATGGTCAAGGCATAGTGCTTAATAGATTACTCTTGTAGTTTATTTGATAGTTCATACTTATTTCTTGATGGATTGTGTCACCTCTTTAGTTTAATTTTCATGTCATTAGCATAGTTGTAGTGTAATTGTTTTAAATTCTTAGATAAATGGACAATCCATTTTTATTGTTTGATGTTCCATGCTTATGAGTACAAATAGTATATTTCTCTAGTCTGTTGAGTGTGCATTAATTGTGAGTTTATAGAAGAATTAATAACTTAATTTGATATGTTGTGTTATTCACTATATTGATTAGACAATGTATGCTTATTTAGCCATCCATGTTAATATTTCAATTAATGGCACACACTTTCTTTTACGACACATAATCCCTTTAATCCATCAAATGTTGAATGCCTAGAAAGGCAATGCTTAGTGGTGAACTCTATGTCCTAAGAATCCAATCTCATTCTTTACACCTCATTCATTTAGTTGTTTTACATTGCATTACATTAGCTTAACTAATTAAATTAACTAATATATTCTTTGAAAATATATATATATATATATATATATATATATATAAATTTTACGGATCGGATCGAATTTTTAACAACCTAATCTATGAGTTATGGATTCGAATTTTTTGAATTCGCCGCCGATTCGTGGGTGTATCAATCCGTTTTGATCTGTACAGATCGGATCGGATTTGCGATTTTACGGATTATTTACTCATCCCTATTAATCATATGCTAAACAGACAGATTCTCATTTGGAGTTAAAAAATGAAACTCTAAACTTATAAAAAGTCGACAATCAACTTAGAAATGTTGGATGTGAGTTGTTGTGATAAGGTCTCATAGCTGTGTCTTTGAATTAGTTGTGAACTCTCCACAAGTATTAGGTTCATTAAAAGATATATATCTATTATTATTTAATAATTATTTTGTAATATATATATATATATATTTTCTTGATGGAAGTACTCATATTGTTTATGTAATAATTATATTATATCACTTATATAATAAAAATATTATTTTTTATGTATCTGTTGCAGTGTGTTACACACTAGCAAGAATCTCTGTATACATCAACTGTGAAATGCGTGTGTTTGTAAAAGCGGTCTGGAAGGTCATGGTTTGGGACTAAATTGATGGAACGTGTAACACATTAGATATACGCAAGTTTAGTCCATTGGTCTGTACCTTAGTGAAAATTGCGAGTGTAACTTGTTTATATATCATTAACGTGTGAATTTTGTCTGTGAATTTTGTCATTCGTCTCCAAAAGTCAAAGATGGCTTTAGCCTTAAATCTACACTTATATATGTCCTTTTGGCCGACCACTTTCCATGCAAATGAGGAATTCCGTAAAAGGCCTTTTGTGTTCCACCATTTAGTGCGATGATCGGTGGCTTAATCTTTCAATAATTGGCGGCAAATGATTTTAAAGTCCGAAAAGATTATTATAAATGAAAGCATGAAACCCATAGTACAATTCGATTATCTGAGTCTCTATTAACATTTGTTAGATAAAATCGATAATTTCACACCTGAGGGCATGTTTGGTGTGATGGAATGGGCTGGAATGAAATGCTCATTCCACTTTCTGATTCCTTTTCCCATGTTTGGAATCCCATATGTGGAATGAGAACGCCAACTAATTTTCAGAGAATGCTCATTCCATCATTTTGTTGGAATCAGCATTCCACTTTTAGACCAGTGGAATGTCATTCCATTCCCACTGAGAATTAAATTAATAACTTAAAGACAAAAAAACCCTTTGCCTTCTTTGATACATATCATCTGGTTTCCTACTTTTCTCAATGGACAACACATTGAGAATGCACTTGCCGGACTAACTTTTTGGTTTGCTCAGTGATGATCACTGGTCTTGCCGGACCTGTTCACGAAGCTTGTCGGAACTGTTGGTCACCGTGACTGAAGCACGCTGGAACTGATGCTTCAATTGAATCGTCGATGCTCAGTGACTAAGCTTCGGATGTGAACTTTGGTGGGTCATCGGAGTGAGCTGAAACTTAGCAACTTGCCAGAATGATGAATCTTCTGCAACTGGAGCACATCGGAATTAATAGACCTTTGCTGCTCGGAATTCACACCGTAATCACTGGTTGAATGAAGCTTGCCGGCATTCATGGTGATGGAGCATCAGCTGGGTCTGTCTTCACTGGAACCGTTGAGTCTTTGAATGCAGCTCGCCGATTTGCCAAAGGCTGGCCCAGAGTTGAAGGGCTTTCACCGGTTTTAATGGAAGTCGAAAGTCTAAGTGTTCACCGGTTTTAACAGAAGCCAAAGGTCTGAAATTTTGCCGGAACAGTGAGAAGACACCCTTCTTTGCTTGGGCACAATGAACACTTTCAGTCTTCAGATTCAATTTCTATCAAGCTCTGATTTGCTTGTAAAGGATTTCTTTCTCCAGATTCAATTTCTTGTTATCCCTGTTATATCTATATATACCCACATATATATACATGTATATACTTACATATACATATATTTATGTTTTCTTTTGGATGTTGAAGGAGAAGAAAGAAAACCTGAAATTGAAAGTGTGCCACGAAAGGGTATTTTGGAGAAATTAATAAAAACTTATTCCATTCCAACTTTTAATTTGGTGTAACCAAACACAGGAATGTTAATGGTCATTCCATTTCAACTTCATTATTGGTTTACAACCAAACAGTGGAATGAAAATAATCATTTCATTCACGCACCATTCTCGTTTCATTTCAACTTGTGTTTCATTCCCACGTCAATTCATTCATCCATACCAAACTAGTCCTGAGAATATGTTAATACAGTGTTTTCATTGCACTGAATCTGAAACAAAATCCGTCAGCTAATCAATGTGAAAATTAGCAGTTTTAGTCTCCATTGGAATTCAATGTATGACAAAAACTTTGAAACTAGATCTGTACTATGTTGTTTTAGGAGAACACAACAAAGCCCATGGGCATAGTCAAGCCCAGGAAATCAGGTCAATCCATCCGTTAAAAAATCATCATTCTTTTTAAATGATCTCGTGGATAGGATTATGCACCAAATAGATACAATAGAATTCATCAATCACTTCTTTTACCACATTTAACCAAAAGGAAAATAATATAATTGTTAACAATATTTTAACAAGTACACAGCCCACTTAGGTTCCATTTGTTTCGACGTATTTTTTAGGTAAAATATTTTTTTTTATTTGTACTTTTCGATATTTGACAAAAGTCTATGTCGAGATTGAAGTTGAATCCTTCGGGCGGAACGCATAAAATAACTTACAAAAAAATTTATGGATAAATTATTTTTGAAAAATTTTAATATATTTTTCCTTCTTAAATATTTTACAACAATCAAACACCCAAAAAATATATATATTTTCTGAAAAATATTTTACATCCAAACAAGTAGAGCCTTAATGTAAAAATTAGTAATTAAAAAAAAAAAAAAAAAAAAAAAAAACAAACAGCGACACAACCGGCTTTTTTTTACATTTAGCATGTGAAAAGTTAGGAAAGGAGTAGTAGGTCTTTTCATTATCAAACTATATATCAAGTCAATGATACTATTCTATTGCACATGCATCACAGATGCTATAAAACAGATGATCTGTTCTCCACTATATGGTGTTTAATAAAAATGAGTGATGTTATGATTTTTCGTTTAGTACGTGATGACACATACGGTTGGGAATTTTCTATATTTTTGTACATTTTACACCCAAAAAAAAATGTATGGACATTCTTTGAGGAAAAACTGAATAATACAATAATTTGATTTGACTAATTATAAAAGTAAGAAAACTTTTATTTGAGATTTAGAAACGTGTTAGTAACTATCAAAATGTCAGGACTTGTTTGATTTGTAACTATAAAAAAAATAAAAAATAGAAAATAAAAAACAAAACAAAAATCTCTATTTGATTCAGTTTTCAGAAAACTATTTTCTAAAAATTCTGTTTTAAAACTATTCTCTTAGAATAGTTTTTTTGTTCTCTAAATGCTTGAAAACTGTTTTCGGAATTACAAACCAAGCAAACCCTTAATATTTCCAAGTTCTCGAATAATGTCTCACTTGTCGATGTCTCATTTGCTCAAAAACATAATATAAAAAAATCAAAGATAATATTCTAAAGAATCAACAGACATATGAATATATAATAACTCATATCAAATTAAAAATTATCATATATAATAGTCAAATAATTATACGAATAAAAATACTAATTAAATAAATAATAAATTAGAGCCTCCAAGAGCATGGCGGTGTTGATATAAATTTGAAAGGTAGGTCCTTGAGGTCTTGCTTTCGAATCACATTCCTGACTTGAATGATGCGTGTGTTATGGAGCCGATACATTTACTCTAAGAAATAATAATAATAATAAATTATAATAAATAAAAAGTAATGATTCTATGGATAGTTGTAATGGATGGTGCTTATTTACTAATTCAAAAGTTTAAGTGGTTGGATAGTATTGCATACCACTCTTACATACTCATTAATAATCGATCCAAATTGGATAAGGGATGACCCTCTAACATCCATCTTATTGCAAAATATCTACAAGTCTTGAATGATAGGTGTAGGTACTAGGCTCACGGTCAAACATAAAATAACAAATGATGAGATATAGCTCGCAACATAGTAGAATTCGAGGTAAATTAAGAATTATGAAAGTCTAGGCAAACTTGAGAGAGAAATAGAAAGAAGACGACAGTCTGCAGGTATACCATTGACTCCCTCCGGGGCAGAGGGAGGGGTGGCCATTATTAATGGTAATTTACTATAGAAAAATTAAAATTCCTTCCCCCACCCCCAGTTTTCAAAAATACTTATTTTTGTTACTTATTTATGGTTATTAAAGATGGTTTGTAAAAGAAATTGCTTGTGTTCCTCAAAGCCTAACTTTTTTGGAAGGTTATTATTGCAATCTTGATGTAACATATCATTACTCTATTCATATCATTCATACAATATTCAGTTTTATTATTGTATAGTACTTTATGCATATACACACCATTACTCTATTCATATCATTCATACAATATTCAGTTTTATTATTGTATAGTACTTTATGCATATACACACGTGCACGCTGCACACACACACACACACACACATATATATTGTTTGTTACAAATTAAAAATAGAAAAAAAAATATTTTAATTTGACAACCTTATTTATCGAGTGTCATATGTTCTTCTCTCCATTTTTTCTTTACATATCATTTATAGATATGTTAACGAAAAAAAAAAAAATCTAAAATGCACAAAATTACCCCCCCCCCCCCCCAACTTTATATTTCTGGCTCCGCCCCTGGACTCCCTTAGTGAATGTGTGGAGATGGAAAAAATCCAAGTGTGAGAGCATAACATCCCTCCACGTCTACGAGGATTGTCTCTCCTTGTCTCTCTGGTTTGGCCTCTTCCTCTTGGCCCATGTCCTTTTATGGCCAAAGGAGAGAATGGGTGATGCACCATGTGACAACACGTGTTGGCCCATTAACATAATAATTAAAAGAGATTAATTTCTCAAATAATTATAGCGTAATATTAATTAAAATGAGGTTAATTTGGTTTGGGAGTCAAAATGATATTTCTCTCTACAAGTTTGGTCGAGTTTTGACTCAATAGACCTTGGACTTCTGCCACCTAATCAAAAACCTTATTGGATCCTAGGTAATCATGAGTCCTGCTCCCAACAAGATCTTCAAATCTTCAATTTTCTGTTCAAGGTATGCTAATGACATGGTAAATTTGAACGTTGAACATAAAATGTAAGCCATTTTTGCTGATGTGGCGTAATCCTTTGACCATTTGACTGGGGGTGGCAATTGGGTGGGTTTGGAGAGGTTTTGAGCTGATCATAAATGGGCAAGTCAGTAATGGGTCAATAACCCATTATCAACCAATTCATGATGGGTAATAAATGGGTTGGATATTAAATGGGCTAGTTAATTCACATCCAACCCAATTACCCAAATATTTTTAAACACAAATTATCAAATTATTTTTGTTGTTGAATACCAAAAAATAAAAATAAAAAGAATTGTTCGTGTAGCAATTTTTCATTCACTTTTTGGTCTTACTTGTTACATTTTTTTTTTTTTTTTTTTCAGTATACAATTTACTCCGCCAGTAATATTAATTAATTATAAATATAGAGAGAGAGATTTAAAAAATAAGCTTTGACTGTTTTAAGTAGGAGTTTTAATTAGTTGGTGAAAATCCAATTTTTTTATATTTAACAATTAGACGGAAGAATATTAAATTTTTTTTTTTGGAAATATTTAAGCATATGTCAATAAAAATCAACCCCATCCATAGGAAGAAACAAAAATAAAAAATAAAAACACCGGCCCAATAAAGAGAGAAACCGAGATGGGGGGGGGGGGGGGGGGGGGGGAATAGAGAGAGTTAAAAAAAAAAAACCAGTAGTGAGAGAAACTGAGGGAAAAAGAGAGGAGAGAGAAAAAGCTCCTTATATATATATATAAGAAGCTTTGTCTGGTAACGTATTAAAAATTTAACAAAAAATAAAAGGTTCATGTAGCAGTTTTTCACTAATTTATTGGTTTACATCATTACAATTTTTTTTAAAAAAAAATTTGAATAAGTCACTTGTATATGTGTATATATATATAGAAAGTGAAATATATTCTTATATTTTTTTTTATCTAGTAAATATAAATTGAAGGCAAAATACGGTAATATGAAAAAAAAAAAAAAAAAAGGAGCGGAAAAAAAAGAAGCAGCAGCAGGTAGAGAAAGAAAATATTAGGGGTGTGCTAAAAAGTAATCAACTCGAAAAATCAAGTCGGATCGGACCGAATCGGGTGGTCTAGGCTGGTTCCATAACGGTTCGGTCCGGTCAAGGTTTCAAAATAATGGAACTGTGAATTTTTGGTTCGGTCCCTAATTAGGGTCTTACAACACTAGACCAGCCCAGACCGAACCGTTATAATATGTATATAAATATATGTTATATTTTATATATATGCTACTCTTAACTTTGGAAGGGATTTCAGCACAACGATCAAACGGAAGCCAACATTCATCATCATATGATATTTTTTTTATTTACTTTTGCTTCTCCCAATGTTTTGATTTTTGGGTGCGTGCCAACATTCTTCCATTATCTCATTTTTTTTCTTTGTTCACGCCGCCTCATTCTTCTTAGTTCTCATCGCCACGGGATCTAGTTGTTAATCAATCTCTCTCAAGTAGCCAGAAGTTCGGTCATTGCCGGCGATCTTTTATTGTTACCGTCGGTGATATCCTCTTTCACACACTCTCTCTCACTTTCAATTTACAAATCTCTGAGTCTCACGGCGTGTTTGCACATCAAGTACAACCAACAACGATAACGAATCAAATTTCTTAGTTTTCAAACACGGATTTGTCATCCTTTTCAGTTTTAACCTTATTTTAATTTATAGTGTTTAGCTTTTGGGGTCTATCCTAAATAAGCTAAACGGTCCCCCAAAACTGCCAAAAATAAGGCAAAGTGAGGCGGGTAACTGCGGGAACGGATCAAATTGCTATCCCTACTTGTGTATAATAGTCCAAATTGAAAAGAGTGATTATTTTAAACCAATAGGTTGAGCCCAGTGTGTGGGTGTCATAGTGATTTGTAAATTTCTGTGAAAATTTTTTCAATTTTTTTTTATTGGTCCACCTAAGCTTGGGGTGAAAGACTTTATAACAATTTTTTAATTTTATTTTTTTACCCTTGCAAACAAGCAACAACAGCCCAATCAAAAACCACAATCTTGGGCTGCTAGGACAAGAATATCAACAGGAATATGAACCAGAGTAGTATCGTGAGTTATTTGGTGACGTGAAAGCTGGGCAAGAGCATGGGCGACCCTATTACCATGTTTAAGCACATGGCTAAGTCGAGAAAAGGAGAATCGCCGAAGAGCCACTCTAACATCGAAAGATACAGACTGAATTTCAACCGGACCACAATCACTTCCATTAACTGCCTGAACCAGCAACATTGAATCCCTTTCAAACCACACCTGGACATAAGATGAAGTTAAAGCCCATAGAACTGTTTTACGCAAACATAAAGCCTCAGCCAAAGTAGCAGAAGAAACATAGAAGGAAGAAAAAACCATTGCCTGTAAAACAGTTCCCTTAGAATCCCTAAAAACAGCACCCCCACCTCCAACCTGGGCAACAGATGAAAAAGAAACATCCACATTACATTTAATAATACTCTCTGTTGGAGGAACCCAAATAGACGGGGAAAGAGAGGGTTGTGAAGCAGACCAAGACCCGTCCGGAGCAAAATGCAAAGTAGGACCGGTCGAAGTAGAAGCTTCCTTAAACTCCCAAAAGGAATAACAAGCCAACGAAATCACCTTAGACAGAGCAAAAAGCTTTCTATCAAAAACAAACTTATTCCGAGCCTTCCAAATACCCCAACAACAGAAGGCCACCAAACCTAGAACAGCCTGATTCTCATCTTTCGACACCGACATTCTCTGTAAGTTCATCCACCAAGCTGCAAAAGATGAAGGCTGCATCATTGAGAAATCAAACCTTAAAGGCAATAATTTCCAAATTTGTAGAGAATGAGGACAAAGGAAAAACATATGTTCTAAAGATTCCTCCTCAATACCACACCTGGGGCACACAACATCAATAACCATCTCGCGAACCTTGAGAAGTTGGCAAACTGGTAATGCAAGATTACAACGTTTCCACAAAAAATGCTGTAATTTTGGAGGGATTTTACATTTCCATATATTACTCCAACTAAATTGTTGTCGTGACACAATAGAAGCAGCATTCTAGGAGAGGACCTCGCTTTGTCGCCTCAATCGAGTAGCCTGATAATATGCGGACTTCACCGAAAACTTACCATTAGGCTCACCATCCCACCCCAATCGATCTTCCTTGGAAAAGAAACTGAAAAGACACCGAAGAATAGCGGCTACAATAGGAGGTGGAAATAAAAATTTAAGCCAGTCCACATTCCAACCAGTCCGTCGAGAATCGAATAACTCCACTACTAGATCAGGGAGCCCCACACGAAGAGGTCGAACTAGTTTACCAAAATCACCAGGGACCCGGCGATCATTCCAGATATTAATAGATAACCCATTCTCCACAATCCATTTGGATCCAGCAGCAATGAGAGACTGAGTAGACCAGATACTACGCCAAGACAAAGAAGGATTAGATCCCAACTGCATTTCCAAAAAGGAATAATTGCGCAAAATATTTGGCTTTAAAAAGCTTAAAAGCCATCCCCTTTTAGTACACCAGAAAATTTCAACCCTGCTTCGCCAACAAAGCATCATTATAAGCCTTAAAATTACGAAAGCCTAACCCCCCTTCATTTTTAGCGTCACATAAAAGGTCCCATTTAACCCAATTGATATAGGCAGAATCACCCTCTTTACCCCACCAAAAACTACGAACATGCTTTAGAATGGAATTACAAATTTTACGTAAGAGATTAAAGCATGACATGACATAGGCAGTGTGACGACCCTGGTTTTTTAGGCCAGCGTATCCTGTGATGAACCGAAGATTGACTCGATAACGGATCCGATAAGCGGAAGCGAAAACAGAAAACAAGACTCTAAGAAGTCAAAATGACCTTCTATGAGGTCGTGCAACTCAATGAGAACTGATGCGGAAGCAAAATGTCAAAAACATGACAAATAAGCCCCCAGGGGCAAAATAGTTATTTTTGAAAGTACGGATTTCGGTGCCACCGAGCACACCACTGGAAAGATAACGAAAAACTAACCAAGATGGACTCAAGAGTCACATGATTTGGGGTCCGGTTGATGAAGATATGAAACTCCAAAGTTTCATAAAATCAAACTTTTGGATTTTTTAGACAAGTACGGCAATGGTACTTTACAAGGGGTAAACTGGTCTTTTTAGACAAAACCAGATGAAACTAAGAATATCATTAGATAGACAAGTAAAAACTAATAAATATAGACTCAAGAATCACTTGATTCGGAGTCCGGGCAAGGAAGATATGAAGCCTCAAAGTTTCAAAAAAATAGACTTCTAGGTTCAAATCATTGTGGCAAGGGTACTTTGCAAGGGGTAAAATGATCTTTTTAGATAGAATTGGATGCAACCATCCATATCTTTGGATAGACCAGCAAAAACTAATAAACTTAGACTCAAAAATCACTTGATTTGGAGTCGGGACGAAGAAGATATGAAATCTCAAAGTTTCAAAAAATTAGACTTATTTTCAGGGTAAGAAATCTGGGCAGGAATAGTGTTTTAATAGCAAGCACCAATTAAATTTTTTTTTTTTTTTTTTTTTTTTCCAGAACCGAGGCTAAAAACGGACCCTTAAAGTTTGATTTTATGAAACTTTGGAGTTTCATATCTTCATCAACCGGACCCCGAATCATGTGGCTCTTGAGTCCATCTTGGTTAGTTTTTTATTGTCTTTCCAGTGGTGTGCTCGGTGGCACCGGAATCTGTACTTTCAAAAATGACTATTTTGCCCCGGGGGCTTATTTGTCATGTTTTTGACCTTTTGCTTCCGCATCAGTTCTCATTGAGTTGCACGACCTCATGGAAGGTCACTTTGACTTTTTAGAGTCTTGTTTTCTGTTTTTGCTTCCGCTTATCGGATCCGTTATCGGGTCAATTTTTGGTTCATCACAGGATACGTTGGCCTAAAAAACCAGGGTCGTCACAGGCAGGCAAAGCACTTAAGACTGATTTAATTAAAATTTCCTTACCTGCTGGAGATAAGAGTAGAGATTTCCAAGATGCTAAGCGAGTGGCAACCCGTTGTGAAATATATTAAAAAAAACATCCTAGTTGGAATGTCTAATAATCGCAGGCATACCCAAATATTTGGCAAGCAAACCTTCCTCCTGAATATCCAGTAACTGACACAATGCAAGACAATCCTCCAAACAAGTATTACGAGAAAATAGAGGATTTAGAAAAATTAATCTGCTGCCCCGATGCCAATTCATACCTTTGTAAGAGATGCTTAAGAAAATTGACAGATGACGGAGAATTGAACGGAAAAAGAAGGAAGGCACGTGAGGATGACAACGGTGCGAACCGTGTGATCAAGATGGCGACGACGAAAGATGAGGAGGTGGACGAGTTCTTCGCCATTCTCTAGCGAATACACGTGGCAGTTAAGTACTTCGAGAAGAAACGTAACGGCGAGGGCAGCCGTGAGTTCACGGTGTGGAGGCCGTGTTTTCTATGGCAAGATTTTGAGCAAGTTAACGATGTCAAAAACCCGGGCGGTAGAGAGGAGAGTGGATATTTGGATCTTAACGCAGACCCGGAAGCCAAACGTGGAGAATTAACAGTTAACGGTGCATTTTAAAATTTCTAATGTAGACTATGATATAACATTAACCAGTCCCTCAATAGTAGTAGTATTGTTTTTGAAATTTAATATGGTTTGGGTTCGATCTATTGTGCTCTTCTTGTAATTGTATTTTGTGTTCCGTGTTGTCGGGGGACACCGGCTAACGCTCAGGTTCGGATTCGGGATCTTGAAGCTCGATTGAAGGCTCTTAAGGAGCATGTGGTGGGTTTTGATCCTGTTCTTTGTTCTCAGTTAGAGCTTGAGCTTGGTAAAGCTTGGTGTGATGAGGAGCTCTTTTGGTTACAAATATCTCGGGTAGCCTGGTTAAAACATGGGGATCGTAACACCAAAGTGTTCCATCGGAAGGCAAAGATCAGGCACAGGAAAAATTCATTTTGGGTTTAGAGGATATGGGGGGTGTGTGGCACGACTCTAAAGACGATATCAGATGCGTGGCCGAAGATTATTTTCTCTCTATTTTTTCCTCCGTTCCAGTCCAAGAAGATTCTGAGTTTTGGGGTTCTATACAGTCTTGTGTTTCTCCATAAATGAGTAGTGCATTACTACGGGAGGGTTCGGTTGAGGATCTGCGAGAAGCTTTGGTTGGGATGGGTCCGTATAAGGCCCCGGGGCCGGACGGTTTTACGCCTTTGTTTTTTCAATCTAATTGGGATTTGATTAAAGAGGATCTTCTACATGGATTTAACTCTTTTCTCGCAGGGGTCTTCTTCCGAGGGGTATGAACTGCACTAATATTGTTTTAATCCCAAAGATGCTTCATCCTACTGTCATGTCTCATTTTCGTCCCATTTCTCTTTGTAATGTGGCGTATAAATTTTTTTCAAAGGCCCTGGCTAACCGGCTGAAGGACTACCTTCCTCTCCTCATTAATGAATCTAAGAGTGCTTTTGTGCCTCATTGTCTAATTCACGACAATATTATTTTGGCGCATGATCTCTTACATGTTCTGAAGAGGAAAAAGAATGGCAATTCTGGTTTTCTTGCTCTCAAGTTAGATATGGCGAAGGCCTATGATCGGGTGAGTTGGCCCTTCTTATGCAAGTTTATGACTCACTTAGGTTTCCATGCTCGTTGGGTTTCTCTGATGCTGGAATGTATTAGTTCTGTGTGTTATTCGGTGCTCATTAATGGTGAAAGAAGTGCCGGTTTTTCCTTATTTTGGGGTCTTCGTCAAGGCGATCCACTATCTCCTTTTCTTTTCTTGTTTTGCTCTGAAGGCCTCTCTCGCCTTTTTCATGTGCATGCAAGGAAGAAACAGCTTTTGGGTCTCCGTATGGGGTCCTCCCATTTCGCACCTCTTATTTGTGGATGATGCTTTAATTTTTTGCCGTGCAAAGAATCCCGAGGTGCATCGTGTCAAATTAATTCTGGACCGGTACGAAGCTCTCACTGGCCAGCTTATCAGTTTGGAAAAATCTTGTTTGTTTTTCTCACCTAATACTTCGGATGTCCAGAAAAATATTTGTCGGTCTTTTCTTGGCATTTCTATTGTGGACTGGTCTAATACCTATTTGGGTCTTCCAGCGGTGGTGGGGAGATCAAAGACATCAGCTTTGAATTTTATTTCCCAGCGAGTGTCTAAGAAGATTTCATCTCTGAAAGGTTGTTTATTGTCCAAAGCCGACAGGGAAATCATAGTTAAAACAGTTCTTGCCGCCCTTCCTACGTCTTCTATGCATTGCTTCCGCCATCCAAAAAAAAATTGTCAGTTGCTTTCAAGTGCTTTCCTTAATTTTTGGTGGAGTGGTTTGGAGAAATCTAACAAAATTAAATGGATTAGTTGGGAAGCCTTGTGTCAATCTATGGAGTCTGGGGGTTTGGGTTTTAAGAATGTGGAGGCATTTAATTTAGCTCTTCTAGCTAAATTGGCCTGGCGAATGGAATCTAGTGATGGGTCTCTTCTATTCCGTTCTCTTAAGCAGAAGTACTTCAAAGACTGTTCTTTTGTTGAAGCCCCTAATCGTCCTTCTGCGTCTTGGGTTTGGAAGAGTGTTTTGTCTGCTCGGGCAGTCATTAAAAAGGGTATGAAGTGGCAAATTGGTGATGGGGCTAGTGTCCAGTGTTGGAAGGATAATTGGCTCCCTAATATTAAGAATTCTTCTGTTACGTCTTCGTCAACGGGGGCTATTGTTTCCTTACTGGTTGATCTCATTCATCATGATGTGCATAGGTGGAATTCGGATCTGGTTTCCCGCTCTTTTAATAAACGGGATTGTGATCTCATTTTGCAGATTCCTTTTAGTTTGAATGGAGGTCTGGACTGTAAAATTTGGGGGGCTTCCAAGTCTGGCCGTTTTTCAGTTTCAAGTGCTTATTCGGTTGCGTCTTCTCTTCTTGGTCCTATTTCTTCCATGCCATGTGTTGAAGGCAGTAGCTTTTCTGCGGGCAGCAGTGCAATGTGGAGGTCTGTTGGGGATGTCCAGGCTCCTCAGAAGATTCAATTGTTTTTGTGGCAAAGCCTTCATGATAGAATTCCTGTGAATGAGCATTTGTTATTTCGGGGGGCGTCGGTTTCTCCTTGCTGTCCAGTTTGTGAAGGGGGAGTGAAAACAGTGGATCACCTTTTGTGTACATGTCCTTTTGCGATTATTGTGTGGAAGCTTTGCCCTTTGCGTCTTGATTTTGGTGGGGTATCTCCTTCCTTTTGGCCGAAGAGATGGGTTTTTATTTGTGCTCGGTGGGCTGATTCCGGGACAGCGGCTGCTTGTGTTGGCCTTGCTTCTTTTGTTTGCTGGACCTTGTGGAAGTGTAGGAATGATTTTATTTTCTCTCGTAAGCGGTGGGATCCATATGCACCTAGTCGTAGGCTCTTCAAGCTTTTCAAGAGTTTCAAGGTCTTGGGAGTCCATCTCTGAGTTTATGTCATCCCTCTTCCTCTATCTCACTTCTGTCGGCTAAGTGGTCTGCTCCCGAGATTGGTTTTTTTAAGCTTAATTTTGATGCCTCCTTTGATTCATCTCGTCGATTGTGTGGGGGAGGTTTGATCCTTCGAAACCATCTTGGATTTCCGGTTAAGGTTGTTATGGTGTTCTTCTCCCATGTGCACGGTCCGTCTATGGCGGAAGGTTTGGTTTTACAGGAATCTTTGGTGCTTCTTAAGCGGTGGGGTTACCATGGGGTGGTGGTGGAAGGGGATTGCCGTCCGGTTATGCAGTTGAAAGCTTCTGAGGTTGCTTTGAAGATGGTTCTTAATGATGTTTCTCCCCTGCTTCTTGAGTGCTTGGGTTCTTCTCTTGCATGGGTTCCTCGTGGCGGCAATTTAGTGGCTCACTTGTTAAGCAAAGTTGTTTTAAAAGCCGAATGTGGTGATTTAGACTGGAGCATTTGGCCCTCGTGGCTGTGTATTGCTCTGATCCCTGACTAAGTTGTTTCATCTGTTATTGGTTAGTGTTGTTCTGTTTGGATTTAAAAAAAAAAGTAATAGAATATGAAGAGAATGATGTCAATTCTCGCAAGTCTATTAATTTGACTTATTCGTGATAGTCTGTCGAACTGTGATAGATTTAGAATTGAATGATATTTAATTAAATTTTAAACGCTTAATATATAATTCAAAGTTTCGGTGCTCTTAAATCCAATATTCTTGTATTGGAATATAGCAACTTGATGTGGTACCTCATACACCGAAAGAAGATTTTAAAAAGGAGATGGGTTTTTCTTACGTGGCATTAGCATGTGCAAAGGGTTGGATGGATATGCAACCACATGGAGTGCGTGTAGTTTAAATTTTCATCCAGGACCACAAAAATTTTAATTTCCTTTTTCTTTTTGCACAAATTTTGATAATTTATAAAGTGCTTCCATTGAACTTTTATAAAATTCTCAAAAGATGGGGCTACAAAAGTTTCATATAAAGCAGTATGGTTCTATTACCACTAAAAGTTTAAACCCAGTATTCATATTTTCTCTATCTTTCAAACTCAAACAAAACATATAAAATACGTGATAAATTATGAAAGTTAAATATTTACTTTAGGGATATAAGTATATAAATTCGTCATTTTTAGTGAAACAATTTTTTAATAGTCCATATTAAAAGAGTGCGATTATCAAATTTTTACTAGTTATAACTATAGATATGGTCCGAATTTTACTGCATTCATGTGAAATGATCACTTTTGCACGGATTTAAATGCTCTGTTAAAAGAATAAATAATAAAAAAAAGCTTCTTAATAATCCATAAAATTACATTCCCCTCAAACTTGAACGAATGATTTTATAGTTTTACTTAAAAAATAATACGATGCATTGAGGGTATTCAACTCAAAAAGTTAAATCTTTGTTGAATATAAGTTTTAGATCCCTATTTTTTTACAAACTGATGTGGAACTCCATCGCTGCCCAACACATGAAAACAAAACAAATTAAATAGAAAGCAAGAAAACTTCAAAGTGCTAGTATTGGTGGCGGTCTTAACCAAAATTTAAACTAAAAAAAGAGGTACTGCTGGCAATAGAAGTTTCAAGATGGACCTAGTTTCGTTTTTGATTTAGAACACTACAAACCCTGCAATAGCAAATTCAACCTAATTGACATGCATTTATACATTGAGGGAAAATGAAAAATTGTAAATTTGTGGAAGAGACTCTTGACGCTGTAGTGAGCCCAAATGAGATGTCTGGGTTGTTGACCATTGAAGAGTGTGGCATGGTTCTCGTGTATACAATTAATGAATTATATATGCACTAAATCAGATTACGTATTGGTGTGTCGTTGCTTATCTTTCGTCACTTACTACAACGTCGACAATGAGTTCATCAAAGAAAATTCAACATTACATTCATTACTGTGGGCCTTTCATTTCGGTTTGGAAAAGTAGACAACGCGCCTCCTCCTATATATATATATATATATATTATATAATTCCAGACCACAACAACAACATCATCATCACCACAGAAAACTATTCCACAGTAGCAATTCTTTTGGCCAGAGTGACATGGGAGGAGTAGACAAGAGAAAACGGACAGACGACAGAGAAATGGGCGGAAAGAGAAGCAAGGCACGTGAGGATCATGACGGTGTGAAGATGGCGGCAACCCAAGAGGATGAGGAGGTGGATGAGTTCTTCGCCATTCTCCGGCGGATACACGTCGCAGTCAAGTACTTTGAGAAGCGTTACGCCGTCCCCGAGGGCCGCCGGCGTGTATTCACGGCGTGGAGGCCGTCTTTTACGTGGGAAGATTTTGAGGGAGTTAACGGTGTCAACGAGCCGGCCAATAGAGAGGAGAGGCCGGAGAGCCGATATTTGGATCTTAACAGCGACCCAACCAAATTAGTCACCCATCCGAAATTGAAAACAGTCCTAAAATAAAATTTTAGGATTTGTTTGACAATCGTTTTTATTTTGTACTTTTACTTTGATCAAAAGCAGAAGCAATGTTTTTACTTTAGAGCATGTTCAACACTATTTAAAAACTTATTTGATAACCTAAATTTGCTACAAGCAAACAAAAGCATCATTTTTATGTTTCCAATTTTAGCCTCAATTTTGGAAGCGCTTGGATATTATTAAAATGATATCAAATGTTACCAAACATGTTTTGTGTTTTTATTAAGCTACAGCACACTAACAAAAACAAAAAACACGAAACAAAAACATTAACCAAACAGACCCTTAGTACAGTTACTGGTCTTATGATAACATTAACTCATTCTTAATAGTAAGAGTAGGTAATATTCTTTGTAATTGTATTTTGTATGGTTGGATTTGTATGGACAAGCTTTATATTTTTTCAAATTTAATCAGTATTTATATAATTTTAATATGTTGATTCGATGCTTCCAAATGTTATATTAGTGTGAGACACGTGTCTCACACTCTGAAAAAGAGTTAATACAGAGTTTTCTCATGAACTTGATTGATGGAGGAAAAAAAAAAATGGTCCCAAGCTAAAGTAATTATGATAACAAAGTGTACCAGTTATTATGTGTAAAACGAATGTATTGGAAAGCAATTGAAGCATATATATATATATATATATATATATAACCAAGCAGCTATAAGAAGAACATTATGTGAAATATGTGAAAGAACAACATCCCAAAAAAGAGGACTTCTGAATAGCGCTGCTAAAACACGAGCCACCTCATTGCCATGCCTGTGAACATGGCGAAGACAAGCTGAGGAAAAACTCCGAAGTACCACATGAATATCAAAAGAAATGACCTGAATATCAAGTGGTCCAGAATCGAAGAATAAGGGTGCACACGGTTCTTACTGGAACCAGAACCGGAACCGGTCTCAACGGTTCCTAAAAAATGGAACCGGAACCGGTCTCAACGGTTCCTAAAAAATGGAACCGGAACCGAAACCGTGGACAATGGAACCGTTGACCAAGCTGACTTTTTCAATATTATTTTAATTTCCCTTAAAAAAAAATTACAAATACAATAACAAAAATAAAAATAAAAACAAAAATAAACAGAAAATATTAAAATATTACATCCCACAAATTCAGTTACTCCAGAATTACAAAAAAGAAAACTTGATCAACAATTCAACATTCAACATTCAACAATCCACAAATTCAGACTATTCAGTTACTCCATAATTACAAAAAAGAAAACTGGATCAACATTCAACAATCCTTCATTGTAGCTGCTCACAGCCTCACACAGAAAGCATTTTCCCCACCTTTTTAAAAAAACCAAGAGTTACAGAATGTGGTGAATTTGAAACTAAAAAAGTATAACCAGTAAAAGAACTATAAAAGAACTCACCAGTGACTCGGTGAGACATTCTGCTGCATCATGCATAGCTGCATGCTGCTGCCAAATGCTAACCAGCTATTACATTCTCATCTACAAAAGGCAAAGACAACTTTTATAAATATTTCAATAAAAGCAAAATACTTTAAAACTAAATTTTATATAAAATTAATAGTACCAGATTCAATTGCTTCAATTTCAGCCATAGTTTCTTCCACTTGAACTGGGACCGGTGAAGAATGCAACCAATCTTGTCCACAAATTAAGCATTCCACAAATTTGGGACTAAGAGAACTACAAAATCGATCAAGAACACGATCTCCAGTACTAAATGCGGACTCGGAAGCAACAATAGAGACAAGAATAGCTAAAACAACCCTTGCAACTTCAGAAAGAACTTTATACCTCACACTATTCACCTTTCACCAATTCAAAATATCAAAGTTTGAACTATTCTTTTCACGAGATTCCTCCAAATATTTGTCCACTTCAGTTTTGTCGCTCTCATCACCTTCTTGTTCCATATGTTTTTCAAACATTGATAGTGAGACCACATCATTTGTACCACCCGCACCCAATGGGTCAAATGCCATAGTATTAGTCTCAACATTTACAATTTGAAATGAGGATGAATTAGCTAACTTAACCTTTTCAAACTCATCAAAAAGACGTTTCAACATATCTACTATCCTTTTCATCAACACATTTACCTTGGCTAGATCATGAATTTTGGAGAAACAAAACCTTAAATACATTAATTTACAACGAGGATCTAACACATTTGCAATGAATAGCATTACATTCAACTTTTTAATGTTTCCCTAATACTTATCAAACTTAATCTTCATTTTTTTTAGCCATGGCATATATACAAGGATCCAAACTTTTGGTCCATTCAACCAAGCTAGCTTCAATGCCACAAATCTCACTGAAGAACAAATTAGAAGTGACATACAATGAACCAGACAAACGCACGGTGGCATCATAGAATTTTTGCAATATTTGAGTAAAAAAATGAGCATCATCCCAATCCTTTGCAGTAGGAATTCCATCATTACTACTAAGTTCAAATTTGAATTGCTCTTCATATGCTAGCCTTTCAAATGCTTTTTGAAATTTGATTGTGGTCTCTAGCATTAGATATTTGGAATTCCACCTGTTGGAATTATATATATATATTTAAATAATAAAATGATTTTATGGTCCTATTCACTACGTTTTCTAAAATAGGATTGCAATGTGATTATTGATACTCAATGGATTGGGTTTGTATTTTCCAATTTTGTGGTCTAATTGGGAGTATGGTTTAATACTGTTGGATTGTGGTTTTCCAACTTATTTGTTGTGATTTAATTCTAACTTTTAATATCTAAGTTTCCATGATAGGAAGGGAGACTTAGGTATGCTTGTTTGTAGAGAAGCAGTCCCCCCCCTGTTGTTGTTATATATATAAGGGTTTTAAAACCCTTATCAAACCTATCGTATCGAACAACTTTCAGAAGGGGGTAAAGCGCTTTATTTTTTCAGATCTCTTAAAGGGCGATAAGGAATTCTCAAAGGTATCTAAAGTTTAATTTTCTAATCAGGTATGATATCAAAAACATATCTTTAATTCATGATCAATTTTGATTTCTACTTGTTATTTGTTATTTAAACCCAACAATTGGTATCAAAGCAAGGTTAGAGTTAGGGTTTACGTTGTAGAAATTAAGAAGGGATATGTATAATTTAAAGTTGTGGGCATGAAAATAAGTAGATATATATTTGATCATGAACTTCTTATATGGGTATTGCATCACTGGGAGCGAATCTCTGTTTTCCAATTTTATGTATTCGATTCACCGTGTGTATTTTACCAGTACCTGTTTCTTTTATATCTAAGTATATACTGATGATCGTGAAGAGATATTACTGCTACATGTATTTTGTTAAGCACATGTGAGTCATGTGACATGATAATATTGGAGGTCCAATATTATTATTATATTACTATAATCAATTAGGTAATTTTATTTTGAATTGTTTATTGGACCATAATATTCTAATGATGACAATACAGTATATACAGAATATGGTTTTGACTAAGCCTTTGAAAGTTCATATGTTAGCACGTCGAACGAGAAAGTTTTAATCGTGTATTTTTTTGTTTGAAAGTTTTATCATAATCTAATTTGTGTATGCATATATGTTCAGTGCTTATATATGCTTTAGAGTTGGATCTTGTTTGTAAAGAATGCTCAGTACCATGGTTGTTGGCAATCGACTCTTATATTATATTATAAATTATCCAATAAATAATAAAGTAATATACATACATCAAATGCACATGTACATTAAGATTGAAATTCTTTTCAAATTAATGTACATTCAGATATTAAAACTTGTTTTACATGCACAGTTAACATATGATTCTTGAAGTATTATTTGAGATCTATGGTACATAACTCAATTAAGGGAATTGAAGGTTTATCCTTTTATTATATTAATTCATTTAGTGATTCAAATGAATTTCTTTTGAATTATATATTATGTATGGATAAATTATTTCATGTAATATATACATATACAAGACCTTGAAATTGCGTGGTGGTTTAATCACGCACTATGTCTAGTGTTTTTAATGAGTAATTCATGATATTTGTTCAATTTTAAGTTGAAAAACTTATGGGGGCTTGTGTGCCATAAACAAGTATTTTTGATCTAATTGATTTAAAGATTTAAGTACTTTAAATTGTTCATTGGATATATAATATACATGCATCAAGTTTTGTTATTTGATTTTAATTAAAGTATATAAAGAATTGAGATTTTAAATCTTGATTGATGTGCATGTTATTATTATATTGTTCACAGTAATTTTTTTTAAGATGAGCAAACTTTATTTTATTTGTGTTAAAGCCATTAATATTACAGTGAAATCAAGTGTTCCATAATATTTGGGTTTAGTTTATGTACATTATAAAGAAATTGTTGAACTTAAATAAATGAAACTTCTGCAGTATAGGTTCTTCCTTGGGGTTTAGGAAGACCGATAAAGTGACCGTTCCAAAAGTGGTAGCCAAAGTGGGTGATGCCTGCCAAAAGGTGACACACTCATGGAGGTTATTATTTAATTAAAATTTTAAGGCATTGGTCTTATTGAGGTCTTACAGTGCACTAACTTACATAAGGGTATTTGTTTTGCCAAAAGGTGATCAATGTCTTAGTGTGGGATAAGTGAGTAGAATATTTGAGAATACTTGGATTATAACTAAATAACTCTCTTATCAAAAGGTAGTGGAAGTATTTAGTAATAATTCAAGTATAATCAAATAGGTCTATGTGAGATTTTATCGCAGGTTTGGGAGGTAAAGTAAAATCTAAAATTCTGCCAAAAAGTGATTTTTAGATGATATTTTATCTATTCCCGCAAGGTGGACAGTTTTGCACATAGTAAAACACTTTAAGAAATTCGGCTTAAAACCCCAAGCACGAATTAAAATATTAATCCCTAAAGTTGTGACATATTATTTTATATGTTGTTTATGTGGTGTTATTCAATATAACATTTATTCAGGTTACAAACACTTCTGCAATTTAAAGATAGTTCATAGGGATTGAACTATTGAATGGTTAAAATTACATTGCCTAGAAGACAGGTTTTGATATTATATTGGGTTTCTTGAACTACGAGTCTGTGTTT